AAGAAATAAAATCAAATTTTAATTCTTTAAGTATTTTTTACAAATACAAATTAAAAAATCTATGAAATATAAAATTTAATTCTCTTTTCAGGAATCAATGAGGGTCAGGTGACACGGAATATAAGGGGTGAAATCAACAAAGCGACAAAAATATCTAAAATACCACTTAATGTAAGCATTATTAAAAAATCTATTATATTTAGGATAGAAAATGACCACAGCCTTTTATTGTTTTAAAATATTTTCTTAAGTAAATATAAGTTACAGATTTGATGCTTCATGATTATGATCTAATTCAAATATAAAATATTTTATTTAGTCTAGGCTGTTATAAGCACTTGTGAAAGTTACTTTTTATCCTAAATAATAAGTTTGTTCAAGTTTAAAGTTATTTAGAAATGTGCGTTGTTTTGTGTTGCCCTCTTGGTCACTGAAAATTTGAGCTTCTATTTTATCCCACAATGAAGTTATAGGGGATTATAAATGGGCTGAATAGCTTCGAAAAAGGATGGTAAGGCCATGCCCTGTTTACTTTTGTGCTCGACTTGACGTGGGCACTTCCGTATCCCCAGATCACGAGACAAAAGATATATTTAAGAAGTAATAAAATATCTTATTTCATTTTCAGATCTCGTCCTGCAGGAAAGTGATTTACGTCCGCGTAGATGTTGAAAACGAAAAAGCGCCACCATTTGTGACACTGAATTATGATATTCAAGCGGTTGAAATCGTCTACAGAAAATCACAGAGGAGCATCTCAAAATATAACATAGTAGTTAAAACGGTGCCAATAAAAAATTGTACACCGTACTTAAAATTAATATAATTACTGACATAAATTATTGTATTTTATTACTTGGCACTTCTCTAATGTAACAACAACAAAAAAATTGATACCTCCCAATCATCTATAATATAAAAATGAATCGCAAAATGTGTTGGTAAGCGCATAATTCAACAACGCCTGGACCAATTTGGCCAATTCTTTTTTTTAAATGTTCGTTGAAGTTCAAGGATGGTTTATACGGCGAGAAAAATTTGAATATATGCCGAAAAAACCGTAAAAACAGCCATTTTCTTTTTCTCATACAAACGTTTTCTAACTAAAACGTTGAGTCAATTTGAGCTCTATTACTATTTTATAAAGTTCATATTAAATTACAAGCACTGACTGTTATCTAAGCAATGTAGGTGTGTTCCTAACGTCAAAGAGTCAATTTGCACTTTATTACCGCTATACAAAGTTGAAATTCAATCATATCAATACAGTGTGCGTGTGTGCGTTGGAGCACAGAATACATCGTTGGAGGATTTAATGCCGCGTTCCGAAACTCAATTAAAGTAAATCGTTAGTACTGATTTTCAATTTGGTCGGCTTTGCGATATTATTTCTTTTGTTTTACTTTCAGCACGCGACATAAAATGCATCAGTTTTCACGTCATGACATCAGTCAAACACAAACCGCGTTACCAAAAGTGTTTTATTATTTATTATTTTACACACATAAAAAATTGGTACGGCCTGAAGGATTTGATTCCAAGTCATATCAAATTTAAAAAAAGTTGAAAATTGAAACAACAACAAACTGTCGATGTTTAGTTAGTTAAAAAAAAAAACTAAGAAAAATAAACTGTCGATGTCAATTTGCCGGTGTGGAAGTATTATTTTCTTGGATTTTCTGTTACTTATTCTACTGAGTTTGCTTTTGTCAACTGATACTGTCTAATACACGAAACAAATTCGTATATCGTGTTTTGTGCAGAGTGTTTAGTTACCTATGATCACTATTTATTATAATAATAATATTGCATGTGACACAATAATTTATATTTGATATGCCTCCTATTTTTTGCCCCGACTATAAAATAAGTAGGAACAAATAACTGCCACATTACAAATCTTTTTGACAGGACGAAGTCTGTCGGGTTCGCTAGTAATCAATAAAGGCAAGACGATGTCTCCGGTGGCGCTCTATACTTTTTTGATAAATTTTTAGTGTTATTTTTTAATACAACACTGATATAAATAAATATATGCGCTACATTACTAAAAGCCACTGATACCTCAATCTATACATAAATTTCTTCTTCTTTATCAAAATAAAATATTGTATGATGTCCGCTTAGTTGACCACGAACACCATACAGTAGACGTTTGCAGCTTATGATAGATGTTATAATTTATTGAGATTGAGTCACAAGAAAAGAACTTCGTGGTTAAAGTTTGTTATGTTAGTTAAGTTATACTATTAAAGTTAAGTAACAGTTACAGTACAGTATTGTAGATGGGTCTTTCTCGATGCTAGCTGTTAGTGATCTCTCTAAGTGAAATATAAAATAAATTAAAGAAAGCTACGTTGCTGACGCTTTACCTAAAATTCATAACACGTAAAACGTAACTATACAAGAATGTGCAGCGTAAAACTGTACAAATATGTATAAGAATTTACTCTTAACAAAATGCATATGTATATATGGTCTGTTTACACATTTTGACTAGACCCGTCATTTGACTTAATTTTTACTCAAACCACTTTATTGCTTTGTAAATGCTTAGAAAGATCATGTAAGTATAATTGTATTAATTGAGGAGTGTGCATGGTAATATTTAAATACTATTTAATAACAACCTGCTTATGGTCCACATAACTATTTACCTCAAGCAAAGCACCAGTATTGAATGTTCCATCATTACTAAAACTATACCCATTAGATACTGCAACACAATACCAAGTTCATCAAGTTAAATTATATTGTTGCATAAACGGTCAGTTGCACAAACGTCTGTTAAGATTTAATAACGACTTTAAGTTCTAAAAAATGTGGAATTCATAACGGTAATGTCGCTTTAAACTAATGACCATTTTAATGGACGTTTGTGCAACTAGTTAAGAATCTAAAACTTGGTCATAAATATAGCTAAAAAGATAAACGATTTCCTGAAAAATAAATCTATGTTTATTTTCATGAAACCTGTATACGAATCTCCAGCTTATAATCTCTAGGACGGCCTTGGTGAATCCCTTTAAGTGGACAGGTTTAAATGCTGACCAAGCAATTCAGTCTTAGGTAAAACTTGTCTTTGGTTAGGAGCAAATATTTATAATTCTTGGCCTCACAGACGGCTTGGCCTCGATCTAAGACGATTAGATATCTGTTGCCTCAACTCGCAGATAGATCCCAACGGGGCTGAAATGGTGTGAATGGCGCGGAAAACGTTCCTTTGGACTGTATCCAAAGGATCTTATTTTACCGATTATGGTAGGATGAATTATAGATGCACAGAACAATGAGCAATATCAAAATATCCATTGACATCAATTTACTCTATGAATTTGTATAATTATTGTTGTCATTATTTCATACAAAACATTTTCATTTTACAAATCACAGATGTTTGTAAAATATCAATATCTAACGTGAAATCTAAATGTATACAAGAATCCATATTTAATAAGGCATGTAACTTTTCACTTCCTTATTTTAATCGTGTATACGAAACACCATTTTCGTTCATTTTCGCTGGCAATTAATGGGTCGAAATCAAAGGTATTAAACTATAATATAAGCAATGATATTTTATAGGTCGAAATTGTATATAATCTAAATTCAAAATATTTATAATAATTTTGATATCCTAAACTAGCCTAGCACGTGGCAACCGCAAGATATTTTTCCCCTCCACTGCGCTAATACCGCGTGATTAAGAGGATGTATAAATATATGCCTCCGATATTTTATAATCTAAGACACCACCTATATGCTCTCAGTAATATGCGGCCACCGCGCAACGGGTACTACGAATTCTGCTATGGTCGCAAAAAAGTTTTCACGCTAGCCTCATCGCGCACTCTCAATATTTTTATTACTTCAAAAAACTTTCATGAACTTAACGGTCTTAGTGCTTATTATTATTTTTCAGACTTTTGCTTTCTAGCTTTAAATAGATACTTTAATTAAATTATTAAAATCGAATATTCCTTTCCCATTTTTATTTCTTCTTCTTATTTCCCTATTAATTCAATTCGAATCAACCCATCGAGAGGCTTGTGAATGTATATGCACATATTAGTAGGCTGGTGATTATATTTATATTTCTTTACAACGACTTTCTCTTCAGGAATAGGCAAACATATTATTATTAGACATAAATATCTGTAAGGTAGACCTCTACCTAAAATTCTGCCGTCAACATTGAAAAATAGAATGTTGACGGCAAAATTTTCAATAAATTTTGAATTGGGGTGATTAGACCTTCGTTTATTATTACAAATTTCCATAATTTTAGTTTTAGCTGTTTGACTTTACACATCTGTCCTATGTTCCTGTGTTTAATTTCTGAAAATTCCGAGCAGACACCAGTATGCATCCGTTACGCGAGCGCGCCTGTGATGATCTTCTGGAGAATCCATTGCTGCGTACACCGCCGCCAGAGCCAGAAAAACCACGTCCGCCACGAGTCCGGAAACCCCGCGTTTTCAAACTGGTGCAGTGTCATAGATATAAAATTATTACACAATTATCGGCTCGGATGTTATCCTTGCTAGCCACTCTCATTTCATTTATACTGTGTTTAGAAAAAAAATGAAATCATTAAAATTTAGTAAACTAGCTGAATCATTTAAATTTTGACTTACAAAAACAATCGCATGTTTCTATATTAATGAAAAAAGTATTTTAAAAAAAACTTTCCGAAATAAAACTAGATATCGCTACGGTACTTTCTTGATTTCTCCATGACAACCTTCCGGTTTTCTTTCATGTATATGAGTAAATTAACTTTCAAAACTCAATAAAGAACTCATATTCTATTTGTACTTTTTCGTATTTGTATTGATATCTAAATTTCGAACTTTGCAAATTTCAGTTTTTAATATGTTAGTTAAAAGGAACGGATATGATCTTTGGTCCATTCATTTCCTGCAAAAATCTACTTTTGGTGGAGTCACCGTCTTGTAAGGTGCTTTTTTAGTGCTTTCTTTTTTCATAAAATACTTCCTCATTCACTTTTGTCATTGAGTTCCATGTTATAAAATTGTTTATAGTATTTAAAAACCGTTCTATTCTTTCAGCCACCAAGATTTCCATTGCTCTCAAAAGACTTCTACGCAAAATGGTGTAATCATCAGAAAGAGGTTTATTTCTACTCTAGTCTCTAGATATAGTAATACTAATATGCAGTTTCTTGTAAAGTTCCATATTTTCATTGACGGTCCATGAAAATATGCAAGACGGTGCAAGAAAAACAAAAGTCACAGTAATGTCACCGGATATAACCAATACTCATACCCACAGTTAACTTCCATTTAAATTGTTGTTTGTTTTACGACTTTACCGAAACAAAATTTAGATTAGGACATGCTTCAGAGCTCACACTCGTCATAAAATTTAATATTGGTTATTTAAATGGGTATTAGAAGACAATTGTATGACTGATGATGATGAATGTTTAGCTGCAAATGACGACATATCGAGTGGACGACAGCCCTCCGGGTCTGTTCCCGGAGTTGTACCTGAAGCCTCGCCGGTTGGATTACTACGCACGTCAGCTTGAGGAGAATATGAATGTTAACAAAGAGTTGCTCAAGAGGATCAACCTCATACAGAGAACCGGAGTAACGTATTAGTTTTATCAACCGCACTGGCTTGAATAAAAAAAACTAATTGAAATTATTCAACGACGGACAGTAAGGATGATGACTAATTTTTGATATCTGTCCATCGGGAAGATTACTAGAGAATATTAAATACGTATTTTTATATTTCTTGTGTAATCATACTAATACGGCGATACATTGAGAGGAAATGTCGCATGACGTAACACCTTTGTACATTTTCTCGATAGTTGTGACGTAGCGAGCACCCACTTCTCACTTTAAGGTATATAGAAGGTACTACCTTAGGTAAAATCAGCACAAGTAGAAAAAATATTTGATGATAAGAATTATTTAGCCAACCAAAATCATTTATCACGAAAATGTCGCAAAGGCTCGCACTGTCAAATAGTTTTCAGGTCATGTTTTGTGGAGATATGTGTTAACACTGCCACATTCCAAAAGCCCTCATTTTACAAACTCTACATTATAGTCATAAAATGTGGCTTCAAAAATATTATAACTAACTAAAACTAAAAATATGAAGTACCCTGTGCCGTTGCACTTTTCTTGCGACGCGACGTATTGGTAGGCCACTAACGTGGAAAAATATATGTTTCAAGAGAACTTTATATTTCCAGGGTTTTGTAGACTGCTGGGTCCATCCAGAGCCCACCAATACGTACAACAAGCTGCTTTGTAAACAACGACAACGAAATCTCAACGAAATAAGGCGATCCAATCTCTATTTTTATTCCAGACTTCTTATAGCAGTGAGTGTATACGTTTATAACTCATCATTAGTCAACCATTAACATGAATAATGTAGTAAATGGATAGCAGTCAAATATATTTGTTTAAGTAGACAAACAGTGTCAATTTGACAAAACTACATACTAATCAATAGTAGAAAACGGTTTCCATGTTTAAATATTACCTAGTCTTTTAAAGGTTTGACGATAATAAGAACAAATCTAGTTTTACTTTTAATTCGTATTGAGTACAATATTCATAACTTATTAGTCCAATCACAGAGGCAGGGTTTACTTAAACATATGACACATACTCGAATATGATCTATAAGAATTCGATTAAGACGTAATAATTCGTTAATGAAATAGTGTATTTTTGTTACAGAGGTCTGAACAGTTGCTCACAAAAGAGTTGGACGAATTATGGAAAGACACCAAACATAAACTGATCTTAGGAGCATCGTAATTATTTATCTCATTAATAAGCACTTGCTTTTTTTTGCATAATTAAAATTGCACACAATTTTTGACAAAGTTGAAGATAGACCCCGGAACCGATTACTACTTACAAAACTTATTAGTCCATTGCGGACATTAAGAGTAAATGATTAGATAGCTTTATTTTAATCGGTAATACTTTGGCAACTTACTTATGTAGGCTAGTATTATAATATCGGTAAATAAGCTAATATTAGATCCCTTTTAAATATTCAAAACTTCTTAATACTGTAAGTAATAGAGTATTCTAAAAAATTTTGACTTTTTAATTGGTCAGTCTACTTAGATAATAAACACTCTAGTTTTCCCAATCCTAATGCGTCTACTTGCTAATGCTTTGTTATTACTACTAGTTACTTATTTTTTACCAGTTCTAGTTAACCCATACTACTAGAATAAACGGCTTACCCGATCCATCAAAAGTTATAAATCAACAAATTACCGGTGCTACCAATATGAGTCATAATAAATTAATTTGAGGAATAATGCGCCACTACATTTAGGTCAATTCTGTAACATGGACATTTTAAATCCCGACTAGACAAAGATGTAAAGTATATTACTCGTAAATGTATGTCCATAGACCCTATAAAATTATATTTAAACTTTGAGTTTAATTTTTTATTATTTTATTATAGACTACCATTTATTTTATTCAAAACTGAAAAAATTGACCGTGATATAAGAGACCCCGCTTTCGATAAGCCTTCTGGATTTATTAGAAATAAGTTAGTATTATGGTATCTCATTTTATGTTTTTATATTTTTTGTACAAATATTTATATATTTATGTAATTTTTTAAATCCAAGATATCCGGATATGTTTGTTTATACCTACAACATCTAACCTTAACCAAAGTACAAGTTGAAAAAGATATTACAAATAATTATCTTACATTGTGTCGCATTGATTTATTACAGAGTTTCCATGGAAATTTGGGTTCTTGGTGGATCGAAAATCGGAAAAGTGGTAATCGAACTGTTTAATGACTTGGTACCAAGAACATGTCAACTGTTTCTGAATCTGATCAAAGGAGACGCTGCAGGACACGCGTACATGGGCACTAGATTTTTTAGGTGATTTACATAATACAAAAAAAGAGTAAAACAGATGAAAAACTTACCAGGGCAATTTATTTGTTTGTTTAATTATATATTAAGGGCTTTTCTATTCTTGTGCCATACCATGACCATTAAATGGTATGGCACAAGAATAAAATGAAAACAAACGATACGGTCTACTGAACCAGATAAACCACGAGCTACATTCCGTATGTAAGCCTTACTCCATCAGAGATTGTTGGTATTAAATAATACAAAAGGTCATTCTCTATACCGTTCCTTCCAACCGACTGACCGACTAACATAAAAGACGTCAAAATTGGTCTTTATTACATTTTCTTAGCAGGCTAAATTACAGAAGACTTTGGTTTGAAGCTCACTTTGGTTTGGTTGCACACAGCTTTGGTGACTATAAACGCCACTTAAACAGATTTAGGTTTCTGATTTTAGTGTTTTTTTTAATTTATCAGTTGATAGCAGTTTGATAAAAATAGGACCTTTTGACTTGTGAAACATTAAATACGAATAAGTTTCTGAAAATAATCAGTTGAGATTTTGTACTTTTCTCAATTCAGAAACCGGCTTTAAGTTGGTTTATGTCCAAGATTATGTTTATAAATGTTTAGTGTGTGTGTTTAGGATTGTGCCTAACCTGTATTGCCGTGGTGGTGACGTTACCAAGGACAATGGGTTCGGTATGTATATTCCTGAGGGCACCACGGAACCAATGACCGCAGAGGGATTTGACCTCAACCACAGCGTCCCCGGTAAAGATTTTTGTTTAATTACTTTTTTTTCATTCCTCGTCGGTTCAACGCTCTAGGCTTATAGTGCAGGGTTTCTCAAACTGGTGGCTCCACGAAACCCCGTAAAATACTCCAGATGACAGGAAAAGGAAAAAGAAGTCTGGATATACAATATTCCATACTTTTTTCTCTTTAACAAAACGAAAATATTACAATTGGTTGTTAATATTTTTTTAAATTAAAGAAAACGTAACAAACATTGGCGGACTAAGGGAGGGGCGGTCCCCTTGATCAAATAGTAAATCGGGTTGGAGGCCCCATAGACAAATAAGTACAGCCTGTAGACTGGGGGGGGGGGACTTGTCGATCTGGGCCTGATGCCACCCCGGGCCTCTGATGGGGTAATATATCTAAAGTAATAATATATGTTTTATAATTTGCTGCGCTGGGACCGTTTTGGGACAGAGATTTAGTTGTCTATGTGATTGTGTTGCTTCTGTTTTTTTTTGTCACAAATAAATGGATTATATTTTATTTAATTTATTTATTTATAATCATGCGATGAGTGGGCTTGTTTTACATCCCAAAAAGAGTAAATTTTAGGAGTAGGTAATTTTGAACAATTTCAACCTCATCATCAAGTTCTGTACCAGTTTTAACTATTCTGCAACTAAATGCTGGAACAATATCCCTCCCCTATTAGAAATAGCAAAAGTAACGTTTAAGATTAAATGTAAGGGTTATCTAATGAATATTCAAAGATCGAAATAGCTGTGTGCACTAATACCTATATTGAGCTGTGTTTGCGAATTATTATTGTTAGTTTTATAATCATAGATATAAAGTGTTGCTATAATTTATTGAAATTATTGATTTGTCTTCACACATTTTTAAATCTTATTTGATTATTTTAATTATATTAATGTAAAGCTTGTAAGTTGATGAGTTGGACAATAACTTTATAAGTGTGTCTTGTAAATTGCATGTAATTATATGTGGAGCTATTCGTGCTCCTCCTTATCGCTGAAAATCAGCGCCGCAAATATGTTTATCTGCGGCGCTGATTTTCAGCGTGGCATATTGCTGAGCGGTGACCCCAGTGGTTCGCTATTCTAACTTTGAGAAACCCTGATTTTCTTACTTTCTCAAAAATAACTTATTTTCTTAAAAAAATATAATAAAAAGAAATACTATTGGTCGCTTTTAATGACTATTTCCAAAATCATCACCATCACCAGCCCATTAATGTTCCCTTGTTGGGGCTCAAGTCGCAAGTCGATGGAAGTTTGCCATGACAACTGCAGCAAGTTTAAATCAAATTTGCATTACCTTTGACGTATCAAAGGTAGTACACCCAGTACTACTACTCGAGTACCCAAAATACAGGTTTCGAGGCAAACATTACTTTCATCATCATCATCAGCCCTTTTACGTCCCCACTGCAGGGGCTCAGGCCTTCCTTATAGATGGTTAAGGAGGATGGGCCATGACCCTCCACGCTGGCCCAATGCGGATTGGAGGGTATTAACGACTGCAAATGCAGCCGGAACTACGGCTTAACGTGCCTTCCGAAGCACGGAGTAGCTCGAGATAATAATTTTTGGTCACCCATCCCGTGACCGGCCCTTGCAAAAGTTGCTTAACGACAACAATCGCGGGCCGCGGCGCTTATACACTACGCCACCGAGCTACTAAACATTACTTTAAGTTTAATAATTTTTTTTTTATCTTTTGATCATTGAAAACTTTTGGTCCAAATGCGATTGCAAATTTTAAACTCAGACCACAGCACAGAGCCCGGTGGGGCTCGGCTCATCGGATTGAAATACGCTGATTCCCTGAAGGATCAGCCAGATAGGACGGGGGTATGACCTGAAGGATCGGCGTATGGAGGGCGGGGAGGGGAGCATCGCATATCACCAGAAGGGTGCTAATTGATGCCCGTAACAATTTGTATGGCCTGCATCCTGAAGGGATGGTAGGTCGAGAGGGCAGAGAGGGGGTTGACCTGAAGGGTCGGAGTGACGGAAGTGGGATTGGCTTACTGGGTCTCGTGAGGAGGTCCAGGTCGGCCAAAGGATGGGTTGTGGGAGGTTTGGGAAACCTAACATGTTATTAGTGCTTATGTTAAAGCACTTAATAACGCTTCGTGTTCGCATAGCGCCACAAGGCGTTCTTGCGTGGACGAAGCGCGGTGGAGCTTAGCCGCTAGTGGGGAAATTTCATTTATGTCGATTCCACGAATCAAGTTAAGAACTAGATTTATGTCATCGGCCATAGATGAAGAAGCAGGGGCGGTTTTGGGAGGTGGGGTAGAAGCCTTTGGAGAGGGCTTCGCCTGAGAGGGTTTTGGGGGAGGGGAGGTCATATCGGTTGTGAGACCGATTTGAGAGTGGAATGATTCGCCTTTGGTAAGGCGAGGAAGTTCGCCGCAGTGGGGAGGGGGGGGGGCTTTAGGTGCTTTATTGACCGCCGGAACTTTACCTTTCTTCTTACAAGAGGGTTTGGCCTTTGGCGCTCATAGGCAACCTTCGTAGTTTGCTGTGTGTCCGATTTGGCCACACAGTACACAAGCCGGAGGGGTGGGAGTGTCTCGAGTTCGAGAGCACTCCTTGGTGGGATGTGACTTCAAGCACTTAACGCACCTCGGAGCCGCCGCATGCCCTGGCATCGGTAGCACTGTCACGGGGTACCGAGTCGGTGAGGGGGTTGAACTTTAACCCCGGTAAGGCCGCAGACCGTAAGGTCTTAAGCCTTGGAAATGTCGTGAGCATTGGGGACATTTGGAATGATGAGTAGAGCCAGAGGGAAAGGCCTGCCAGCTCTACTATGCATTTTATGAAAAGACTCCACAGGGAATCCTTGTTCATTTAGATCCTTTTGGATCAGTTCGGTGGCGAGTTCGTACGGAACATTTCGCGCGAACTTTACGCTCCTCTGGGAGAGTGTAGGTATGGTAACCCACCTTGTGGTGAGTTAGAAGTCTAGTAAGGGCTCTGTTGTCCTCACTAGTTGGTGTTTCCACACGGATTGCTATATCCATGTTTTTGGCATGTGTATAACTTATCTTGTTTGATGTGCAGTGGTTTGAGATTTCTGCCCATCTCGATTTGTCCCATATGAATACGGGAGGCGGAGGTTTCGGTTTACCCGGCATTGGAACGCATTTATTATGCGGCCGCAGCGGAGTGGGGAAGGAAGTAATACTAGGAGTATTATCCCGAGTGGCTTTCTTGCTGGTATTACCTCTGGTAAGCTTTTGGCCGAGGGAAGTTTTTTCGGCGGTATTGCTTACCGAGGACACCCCGCCCGATATGCGGGGATTGGGAGTGACGTCATCCGAGGAAGCATCCGTACTTGCTCTCGGGGAGCGTGGCTTACGACGCTTCCTGCGGCTTCGTACCGTATGAAAAGAACTTGTAAATTCGTCGGAGTCAGACGTCCTGAGAAGGTCGTCATCCGACAGCGAAGGGGGGCGGGGTGAGGCGGTCCTTTTTATGGATATGCTTTAGCTCTCCATGGCGGAAGTTGAGGGGGGCGGCGATGCGGGGGGCCTCGACGTCGTCGCACGGTGGACGATTCTGAAGAGGCTATCAGGCAAAATTTGCTGTAGCTCTTCGAGTGTCTATCGTTGTTTCAACATTTCGGCAATGCAAACCGTTATTTGCAAGAGGGAGAGAGGAGTAGTTTTGTTTCGCTCGCACTTCTCTCCGTCACACCTATTTTGATAGGTTAGAGGGAGATAGGGCGAGTGTGCAAAGAGACCACCCCGCGCCGGAGCGAGGGGAGAAGGGGGCACGCGGAAAAAATGCGGCTATCGCTAATGGAATTAGCGGCAAACCTTCACCCTTGGGACACGGCCCAAGTGCAGTGGGATCGGGTCTTCGGTGTTGCTAAAGCCTGAGGGGCCTTAGCGAGCGCACCGGGATCGCTTAGCCGGCTTAGTTGCTTAGTTGCCACGTGTGGTATCCACCGACTCAAGAAGTTGAAAGTGAGTCAAGTCCTACTGTTTTAATGTTTTGAGAAAAACAAAAGCAGCAGGGCCTGCGCTCGGGGTGTGCAGAAGGCACGAGATGTACTCACAGTTTGGGTAGAAGAGAGTCGTGTACGCGCACGGGGGCGCGCAACGAAAGCTGGTAGCGGAATGTAAGATCACATTAAACGGCATATTACTTATACAATATAAACTAATACCGCGATGCATTAAATGAACAGCGCCATATCGTTTGCAGACTTAGAACTATTCAGGCACCTATGAAGATGGGTGTGATATATATAAGTATCTTTGTCACAACATTGTCACAAACTTGCTTCGTATATTTGACGCAGCAATTTAGAATCAAAGAAAAATCAAACCAAGTTAGCATCTGGGTAACGACTGCCGCGACCAACGGCTTAACGTGCCTATATCCTATGATTGACCCTTGCGCAAAGCGAGCGCATTAACCATGGCGTCATCGAGCTCCACACCACCATGAATTTTTTTATAGAATATTTATTCCAAATATATTTCATTAGAAAAGTGAAAATATTTCAGGAGTTTTGTCTATGGCTGTAACATCAGATGGGGAAGTGAGTGGACAGTTCAACATAATATTTAAACCGCTACCGCAATTTGATGGAAAACATGTGGTTTTTGGTAGAGTAAGTATAGTATGTCTAGTATATAACGGCACGTCATTTTCTGTTTGTCCGTGTGACCTAATTGTAGACATGTAATACAAATATACTCGTAACATGAAAAGTCTGGTTTTCTGGAATTCAAAGTTTTCCGGGCAAATTATATTTCCCTATCCCTTAAAGCCTAACAAAATGACAATAGCTAAGAGTAAGTCGGACTCGCGCAACGAAGGTTCACAACTATTCAGTTTAGTAGTTTAGTAGTACATCAACTGTCAGACAGATAAACAGCCCAACAGACAGGCGGACGCACGAGCCGCTGAGTGAATGCAAAATTTATCAAATATAATAATTGTCTCGTACTGTTCATTTTGATAATAATTCATATTATTTTATAAAGTTATTACCTCTTTTGACATTAAAGTCTATCCTCTGAATGATATTATTAGTATAAATCAACAAGCAGACTGAAATTTTTCGTCATCTCGTCTATCTCATTTCTGTTAGATATTCAATGATTACATATTGTATTTGTATGCAGATAATCGCTGGACCGACACAAACTTTGGAGCGTATCAGCGCACTAGGGCTGCCCCTTGGCACGACTACCTCCGACTGTATGATCCGTTACTGCGGCTGGTTCACCCGCACTGGCATATACCGTGAAGGGAAATCCAACACTATTAAATTCCCTCCCAGGAGGAAGCAGAAATCTTAAATATTTACATTAATTCAATGTAGCCAACATTCCGGCGTCTGTTGGTATTGGAGTTACGTTCAAACCAATAAAATACAATATAATGCAGATCGTCCTGTTTTGAATCCATTACCTATCTAGCCCTGGAATTCAATGCGCTATATTGAAATTTACACTATCTATTGAAATTAATCATATATGTAAATCAGTCATTAAAGTGAGATAACGATTCAAGTTTTTTAATAATTTGTTTATTATATACAAAAATAATAGAACTGTCTAAATCAGTGTTATTATAAGAAACGCTATTGCTATTCACGTTTTGCAGAATAATTGTTTATTTTTCTTCTTTAATTTTTATTAGGTTGGTCGCGGAAAATGTAAGGAACTTTGATAGCCCTGTTCTTATATGATTCTTCGTTACTATGCGTTGTACCATAGGAGTCATAGGTGATATTTCACGAAGATTTAGAGTGTATTTTAATTAAAACAAAGTCACATGGATAATTTAAAAAATCTTTTTAATTCTATCTACTGATACTGATCAACACGCACACAAGAAGTTTGATACGTCTCAAAATACTGAGCCGATTAAATTAATTCAAAGTTCATCATATTTTCCAGACTTATAATCGCTGGATTACAATTATTTTGACTGCTTAAAATTTCAGTTTATAGGGATTCGTTACGAGAATTAAAGAAAGGCCAAGAACATTAGAAACGGATTTCCTGGAGGCAAATCGAAATCGTGTTTATATTGGAGTACACCATATGCTTCGGCACTCTGAAAGAGTATCATTAAAAAGCTGGAAAATGTATATATTTTGTGACATAATTACTATTACTTACTAAACTCGCAATTAATCAAAGGATATTGATGAAAAATTCCTTTTGTTTCCTACGACCAACCTAATATATTGGTTATGTGTATTTTAAATAATATATTTATATGATCTTTAGTTTTGATACAAAACTCTTATGTATATTTGAAAATCCACACAATTTGTAATTTTCTTTTTAACACCTTTGCTCGTAAAGCTGATGTAATTCCACCGGTTTTAAATATGTAAAGCGGGTCATAAAAAACGCGTGTGTTACCAAAGCAAATAGTTAAGTTATAGTCCATACAAATTCCATAACAGTATTATTTTATCTATGCAAATTTCGAACTAATCGCCACGCGGCGCCAATCAGTAGGCAGCGCTAGCGCGCTGTTAAAATGGCGGGAAAGCAACAGTGTACATTCACAGATTGTTTAATGGTTTTTTGTCTGTTTCCTCGCTGTGTGTTGTGTGTTAAAAAACGTCGTACGATATACGTGCGTATTGGTTATAACATGCGAGGCGGAATTTCAGCCCGAACCGAAGTACTATTATTTAACATGGAGGAATCATAGTAAAAAAGTCAACATTCAATTTTTAATCACTTTACTAAATAAATTAGAAAAATTGGAATGCACAGATATGTTACGAAGCGACTATCAATAACAAACATTCATAATCAAAACTATCAGTGTCAATATATTACGTCACGTGAATTATCTTCTTGAACTGTCGTCATCATTCTATTTTCACGAACAACCCACAGGATAGTATGAGAGCCAATAACTGTAAAATAAAACAACTCATATCATTTATCCATTGTGTTTAAAATTCCACCAATTTGTGACATTTACGACACCTATCTTTAGGTCATCACTATTGATTAAAATAATATATAACTTTTATAAGTGTAACAATTACATAATATGAATAATTAAATACTAAGATTCTAAATATATCATGTAAGGGTATTCGAATATCAAATCTTTTTGACACAAAACAACAAAATATATCACCATTAATTTGGGAAGAAGACATTGCACTAATAATATTGAACCTCATGTAGAAAGCAAAAGGCAATTGAGATGCCATTGAGACACAAATTAGACCCGATCTAACCGATTTCGAAAATTTAATTATGATGTTTTTCGTCTTAATTTGTTGAGGGACCTACAAATTTTATAATATGCTTGTTATCACGAATATACCTATTTCTATGAACATGTCTTAAATAGTGACTCAAAATACATACAAAAATTACAGAAAATTGAACATTATACATGAAGGAATAAAGTCATCAACTGCTTACCATAATCACAGCCACGACTATGGCAGCAGCTCCCACATATACGGCGTCTTCCCTTAGGAATTCTATTGCTTTGTTCAGACACCCGTCCACGTACATATTCGACGGGTTGGGTGTCGACTGGCATTCTTGACGCTGAAATAAATATTTTATGATTTAACTTTGATTAATGTTAGGATGAGGGAGGCCCATAAGGAGGTACATTAAATATATCACGTATAACAAAATAATCGTCCAATTAAACTATTAAATATAAGAAAATTAGATTATAATTATGTTTAAAAATCTTATTTTGCCACATATATTTGGCGTGGACCATACCAGACCAGACCAATAGATAACAAGCTATTCCCAGACCTATTTAATATAATACATGTAAAATTTCATCAACATCTGTCAAGCCGTTTCGGAGAAGTATAGTAACTAATACTGTGACACGAAAATTTTATATATCAGTACGCATAGTATGATGAACTCAAGAACGTTTTGTCTTCACTCAAATGTCATTTTTCTCGGATCTCACTCTCGACCCGAGAAAGTGACATTTGGGTGTAGACAAAGAGTTTCTCGAGTTTGTCATTCTACACGTGCAGACTAGCTGTTTTCTCGCTATTTCACCCGCGTAAATGTCAACCGCCTATGATGTAGGTTCCCATAGGTGATAGAATTTTTAAAATCGGTCCAGTAATTTTGGAGTCGATTCAATGCAAACAAACGAACAAATGTTTTTTTCTTTATAATAATAGTGTAGATTTGCCACAAAACTTAATGTGACGACGGTATTTTTGTAATTATATTATTTTAAAAATTAAAACTGATGATTATATTCAATGAGTACAGTAATTGAGCAATTAATTAAAGTTAAATTGAGGTTTTATATGCTGTTTTTCTCTACAAGGTCTCCCGCAAAGTTTTCAACATTCACAAGTATTGTCTCTGTCTTATTGACTGACGACGACGTGATTTCTTCTCGATTTTGCTCACTGTTAAGACAATGTATGTATATATATCATATACTAATAGGTATCGACGTATCAAAGCAGAAAACCAATTCACTTTTTTTAAAACATTAAATTTACAGACCCAGGTATAAACAGAAAAGCTACGGAGATCTAAAAACTTTTCCTAAATAAATAAATATTCGAAAAAGAGCTCGACAACGCACGCTCGGTCCGCGATGCGGAAGTAAGGATTTTATATTAATCACTAACCTGTCCGGGGTAAATCTCCCGGCAACAGCTGGTTGGTATGTTCCCGTTCCAGTCTCTGTAACCCTTGACGCCGCAGCACATCAGGTACGACTGTGTTTCGTCCCACGCCCGTGTGTACTCGTGCTTTACTCCATAATACGGGATGGATGCGTACATCTCTCTATCCAGAGTTGTAAGCACCTTCTCTCGAAACACGAACTGCAGGATTCCGCCCACCAGCATCACCACGAAAATTATGAACACCAATATGTAGTACTGGAAATTAATGAGAAAATATATATTAATCAACAATATATTATTTAACATCATTAGACATTAGACAACATCACATATATTACTCAGATTCCAAGACAAACGCTAAAGCACTGGCATTATGGAGTACCTATATAAGACAAAGAAGGAACCATAAAACATAGACAAGTTCATTTTCTAGATTGACCCGGCGGGCAACAAGCCCGTGGCCTCGGAGAGTATGGTGAAACCGGTGTATGAACCACACTGCTACAGAGAGTAGATACATATATATTTATTACTACGGAAATCTTTCCTCTCAAGATTTTTAGAATACGAGCGAATTATAAAAATGCACATAAGTTGGACGTCTACTTTAGATCGTGGACGTCAACGTTATGGTAACGTAACATGCGGATATAAAAAGCATCCATTATCTTTCCGTAAACACTATGAAATTCGGTCTCATATATTACCAAACCTTACCGTGAGTAGCATGCATTTAATCTCCTTGGCGGCGCCACAGCAACCAAGAAACGACAGTAGCATCATGGCTGCTCCCATAGCTACTATCACACCCACCGATGCTATAAACATGTTGTTGCTCATCAGTGTGCTCGTGAACGAGCGTGAGGACCACACCCATAGCCCAACGCCCAGCGCTAGGGCCCCGCCCACCTAAAATCGACAAATAAAAATAAAATACCTTTGTTATTTATCAGCGTGTCTTCTAACACACAACATATTTTTAACCGCCTTCAAAATAGGAAGGTTATCAATTCGTGGTTGTTTTGTGTTTTGTATGAGCTTCTAAACACGTATGCAAAATCTATGGCGGAAGACATTGCACTGAAAAGAAGCGGCAAGAAACTCACTGGACTCTGAATTTCTTTAATTATGTCAATACGGGCATCAAATTGGAGGTCTTGATGAGTACATTCCAAAAATACTCACTAAAAGGAATAAAATAAATAATTTAAAAATTAAAAAACACGACTGCCAAAATCGAACTAAAATTATAAGAAAAAAGTTGTGTTATGGCTTAGTTAAACAAAATTCCTATGCATTCGGGGGACCGTTTAAAAGAACATTTGTAATCTAAAAAGTCCCCCAACTGAAATAAGAATTTCGTTTAGCCAAGTCATAATACAACTTTATTGCCATTGTGTTTTTTAATTTACAAATTATTTATTTTTATTTTTTATCTACAAGGTATTAAGAAAAAGAAATAATTATTTTATTACATAATCGTCTAATATGCTGACGCTAATTTTATTGCAAAATAGCACTTCAGTGGGGAAGATAGTATAGAAATGTAATGTTCAACTAACAAATTTGTAGATCCTACTTGCCCTATCAACTTTGTTGTGATTTTAGAATAGCGTGTCAACGTGAACGTTGCTAAGCATTCTCTTACAATCTTATAAGTCAAGTTATAAAGTAACAAAGAAGGTCAAGATCTGAATATATTGTGATATCTACGTATTATTTCCCTCTTGCAACCCTCGCGATGTGACCTACGCATGGCTATGATACGATCTAAATGGGTCGTGGGCCGCACCATTTTCAAACAATAAATCAAATTTGATGGTGTTACTCTCTAAATCATAATTCTAGTGTCGACTAGTTTTTAATAAACGAATGATTGATATATGTTCTTCAGATTATAAATGTATTACCTGTTTTTTATTCCAAAACTTCATTAACGAAATTAATAAGAGTTTCAATTATGTCGATATAACATATCAGTAGGTTTTACGAGGAACTCAATGCCGTAGTGGTTAGTTAGTTCATCCCGATGTATAGAAACTACGTTCTATATTAATAACACAGGAGTAATATCAGATACACAATAACTATAGTAGTGTTTATTTTCTGTACTTAAATACTCACCAGTGTAATTACGTTGATACATATTAAGGAAAATTTCATGCACCGACCGCAGCTATCCATGGCTCCTCCCATACCCATTGCAAATCTATCAAATAAATATCTTTTAGTGAAAGGCTGAAGTATAATTTTAAAACATTTGACATCAACTTAAAACATCCTGTTATTAAAGTACACGTTTTGACTTAGAGATATCATTCGTCAAATGTGTATTTAGTATTTGGCGATGCTAGTGATAAATTAAAACAATTACAGTGTTATTAATAAATAAGGTTTACCGTTGGAGTAAATATACGCTGAGAATGTCAAAATTCATATTATTAGTGAGAAAATTAGCAAAGGTTAACCCAGTACGAGAGTAATATTTACACCTAGAAGCTTATTATATGAATAATATTTATTTGAATACTAAAAAATTGTAGCGTAACTCTGACCCTAAACCTGGTTTATTAATAGCACTGTTACCGTTTTTGCACCATATTTTCTTAATGTTAAATATAAATAGATACTACTCAAATTACCATTTCAATAGTTGTATTTTAGAAACTACAGGACGAAACAAAGAGTATTTTATACGCCTATTGTCATATTGCGTTAACATAATCTAAATGGCTTTGATTTTCTGACTGATTATTTATTAACATTGAATCTACCAAACAAACAAACTCTTCAGATTTATGATATTAGTAATATACATAATAATGATCTATTTTCTTTATCCTTTTTAGAGTTCCGTAACAAAAGGTTGAAACGGGAACCCTATCAGTACGACTTTGCTCTCTGTCCGGCCAGACCAGGCTGTATCTCAGGTGGTTTTTTGCTCACCAGGATGTATCTTACGAACCGTAAAAATAAGCCAATTTAAAATTTTCACAGTTAATTATTTCTGTTGCCGCTTCAACATCAAATACTAAAAACCAGAATAAGATAAACGAACGTTATTTCTGCTCGTTCTTTTAACTACACCAAAAAGCTTGATAACACATTCCTCTTAATAAAAAAGGACTAGTCAAAATGCAGAAGGAAGAAGGTCTTTAAAACATATGTATTACATATTTTTGATTTTTTCTTATTCTTTCGTATACCATTATAAACTTAATTCTTTTCCAATCAGTTGAAGATAAGTGAATTATTGTATATACGCTCATCCGCGAGCCACAGTAAATGTCATAATCTAAGCCAAGAGAACAGCAACATTAGTGGAACAAAAATCACAGTTAATATTTATAGCTTCCTCTACCAGTTAAACATGTGTACTTAAATATAACATGTACAAAAATGCACAAGTCTGACAAAGCAATGCTTTTGTCGTAAAAAGTTATGAAATCGTAAAACAAGTCGAATAATTCAATAAATATCTTCTGTGTGAGCAGCTATCCAACCTTATCGTAGATTGAGCAAAATTTTAAAAACGCATACATCATTATAATATGTGTACCTACTTTTAAACCGATAAAGCTTAGCGCAATGTGTAATAAAATTAAAAACTACTAAACAGATTATTGTGTTGTTTTCACCGATGTACGAAGCCTATTCAACAATTTCTATAATATATAGATTCACTTGAACTTGAAAAAATCCAATACATAAGTAGTTTGTGTGTATAGTTTATTATACTTATGTTTCTTAGTATTTTTATATTTATTAGAAGGACTCTGTAATGTAGTCTAGACTATATTTCAATTATTTTGTGTAAATTGGCCCAAATATGACGTTGATTGTTGAAAGTATCGAAAAAAACATGTCTATTCGGAATTTTATTAAATAACATCTACTTGAATATTTTAATAATAATTTTTAAAACAGAAAATTACAGGTTATTTAGGTTTGTTGTATTTAAAATGTGGAATCATGGCAATTTTTAGTTTTACCTATCAACTTGAATTTGAATACAAATAAAAATTGATTGTCTTGAATCGCTTTGATAGGTAAAACTGCTTTCAATTCAAATAACATCAAAACCATTTATTTTAAAGCATTTAAAAAAATTAAAGATTATTGAAAATTGATCTCGTCGATGTCTTTTGTATCAAAGTTTTCGCAAAGAATCTAAACAATTATAATTATATGCAATCGGGTCTTGTTCGTGCATTTTTTAAAACAATTAATTTACCTCGACGTTTCGGCTACGTTACAGCAGCCGTGGTCACGAGGAGACTGGAGAACTGGCGGGTGTCGTCTTCTGATTTTAGTTGAGGGTAATCCGGTAATAATGTTTTTAACTGATTTTCAGATGTACCCTCCACTTGATTTTATTATACGTAAAGGTGGCGACACACTGCACTTACGGTATCCGAGAATATCCGAAGGTGTAAGGAAAGACTACCTAAGGTTCCCAGGCAACGGGCATTTTTAGGCTATGTTAAGGGAGTAACGGACAAAATCGGTTCCATTTTGAGGAAAAAATTTTCTATAGACACCATTTTTACTCCTTTATCAAAAATGTCACACCAATTGCGATCACCAAAGGATAGTATTCCTTACCAAAAACCTGGCGTTTATAAAATTGACTGCAGCTGCGGTAGTTCATATATCGGACAAACGAAGCGGACTATCGCCGAACGTGTAAGAGAACACATAGCAGCGGTCAAAAATCGTCAAGTGGAGAAGTCCGCGATTGCAGAGCATTTATTATCATCTGGATCAAACCACTGGATCGAGTTACATACACCTCATGTCCTTTCCACTGAACGACATTACTATCCAAGGATTGTTCGTGAAGCGGTTGAAATCAAAAAACACAACAATTTCAACCGGGAAAGTGGATATAAACTCTCACCAACGTGGAATCCGGTTATAAAAATGTATAAGTGTCGCGATCGCAAACAATCACGAACAATATTCTCGGATACCGTAAGTGCAGTGTGTCGCCACCTTTACGTATAATAAAATCAAGTGGAGGGTACATCTGAAAATCAGTTAAAAACATTATTACCGGATTACCCTCAACTAAAATCAGAAGGCGACACCCGCCAGTTCTCCAGTCTCCTCGTGACCACGGCTGCTGTAACGTAGCCGAAACGTCGAGGTAAATTAATTGTTTTAAAAAATGCACGAACAAGACCCGATTGCATATAATTATAATGTATACAAATCGTGTGAGTTTAAGAATCTAAACAAATTAAAATCAAAAGAAAGAATAAAACAAAAGCTACCAAATTTTTTATTAAGACTGGGTTATTCCTCCTCCAACAACCTTTTCTTGATGAAGTTATGTCTATTTATATACAATTACATATTACATCCATGCTCTGCATGTTTTTATTGTTTTTAGCCTCCTCAAAGAAACCTCGTACACGTACATTATGAACTATATTATTTGACCTATACTAATATTATTAAGAGGAAAAATTCGTTTGTTTGTCTTCCATTGAATGGGTTCAGAAAGTACTGCATCGTATATAAATATTCTTTTACCTACGGGAAGCGACATCAGACGCGGGTGAAATAGGCAAGTAGGTACAATATTATTATACTATTATTTATAAGTAAGAAATATCTAATGAATACCTAAGAAGTTAAGTAGTGGTTAGTTAATCAGATGTAAAGACATTGATTAGTGGATTTTTCTAAGTAAGGCTGTATATATCTAATAATATAAGTCCAAAGATATGTTTTTATCTCTTTTTTTTTTGTTCATAATGGTTCATAAATAAATTACAAGATTAGGTAATTTTCAAAACACTACTATATAATTAATTGCAGTATCCTATCTAACTTGATTAGAATATTTCTTAAAGTAGTATCTCGAAATCCGAAAAAAATATACTGTCGTCTAGAAAGGATATTAATATCTGCCTGTCAGTTGTTGCTAGGCAATGCTTTGTTTTCAAACATTCTTCATCGAATTTGGTGTAGTATGGTTATTTAGGTGTGATTATAGCAGCGGGGGAGAATCCTTACCCTTGCAACCGCTTTCTTTATGCTAGTATATAACTGTTGTACTATTTATAGAGAGGACTCTTATCATTTTTTTTTTACCAAAATAAGAATGGCAGAAATCTTTTCTGAAAGTTAGTTTTTGTATAAGTATATATTTTCCATTACAAGTGGAATGTTTAATTTAAACTTTAAAAACTATTCTTATAACATTGAATGTATTATAACATTTATAACATATGAATGCAATAATACCAAAGAGATATACTTGATAAAAATACCTAAAAATAATTTGAAATTCGTGTAGCATCTCTGGAGGAGTAATTCTGGAAAAGCAGTCTAGCGTTTGCAGATGTCTTGTATTTATTTTTCAAATGTATGATAAGCAAATACTTTGGCCTATTATAGCGGATATATGTATTGTTATTGTTATTGCTATTTTACAATTATTGTATTGTATCACCTAATCAGAAACCACTCGTGGGCACATTCACAAACTTATATTAGAATATAATATAAATATTAGACAACATCACATACATACATTATACTACTAGGAAATTTAGAAGTAGATAATGTGATATAATTGTTTGTCATTGTTGTTATTCATACTTTTTTGATGAAGGTAGATGGGTTTACATTTATTCGAAAACATTTTCATTACTTCTGCCAGAGAGAAGCCTTAGAGAAGCGGATAAAAAATCCGTTCTATTATAGGATTCGGAACAAATATACAACTTATTGCTAATTTTATTTGTAACGCAACAATAATTATGCATAAAAATATTTGAATAACTATACATAAAAATAATACTGAATTTAACTCGTGTTGTAGTCATCACATCCGTAACAAGGCATTATGGTTTTTTTGGTTGGGTTCTGCCCATCTAGCAATTAATCTGACCTCACGGTCGGACCGTACACTTGTGTTATTGTTTAGGAATGTCAGCATGTGTGTCATGCAGGTACGAACATACCTGCAGCGAATATTGCATGTAATGAGTAACGAGAGGACATTAACAAGTTGGACGAGGATTTACGAGAGTGACGGCGCGGACGCAATTAATTGTACTCAAGGTAATATTGTGGATAACGCAAGGTGAATCTAATACGTTCTCCTCTTGATTTGCTGATAAGCAATAAGTGAAAGTTTCATTGAGCTTGAAACAGGCACCTACTAATAGTACTAGTACCTTCTTGGTTAAATTACAAATGAAACAACTGTACGTGTTTTGTTTTAACGATAACACGTTTGAAATAGCACTCGTCTCACGTTACTTAAACATGAATGAAACACTAATAATATTATATAATTTAGGATTTTAACTATTAGATGAATAATATTATTGTCACCTTTTATTACGTTGATAAATTTGGCGCGAAACAGAACAATTTCACTTTACATCACTATTACTTTCACGACGCAACAGTTTAGCCGATGCCGAGTGTACCAATGCATTG